CCATTCCTGCTGTGCCCTAGCTCTCTGGAGCAGGGACAGAAGACCCTGGAGGGCAGTAAGGTCTGCCCTGGGAATAACCTCCTTCCCAGCTGCTGTTCCTTCTCAGCATCCCTCTCTGATGGAGCTAATAAATCTGGGCACATGAGCTCCCTATTGCAGGAGGCCAGGCTGGCTCATTGCATATCCCAGATACAACCTCTCTCAGCGGTCTCCCAATGCCTGCCAGGGGCCACCAGGATGGAATAGGTGCAAGAATGGGGATGGTTTGATACAGGATTTCTTCACTATCAGAACAGCAACCCAATGGTTCTATTTGGGGTGGGTGGCAATCCAGGAGGGAGAGAGAGAGCTGAACCCTGTCCACATCATAGGAATGGAACTCCACCTCCCTACAGAGCACCTCCCCCTCTCTATATTCCAGCTGCAGGGCCTTTGCACATGCTATTCCCTCTTTGTCCAATGTGCTTCCCTCCCCTCACTCACCTATTAATGCCTACTCAATTGCTAATTCCTCAGGGAAGCCTTCTCTATTCCAGTCAAGGTCAGATGTCTTGTTATAGGTGTTCATTGTTCCCTGATCCCTCCATAATAACAAGTAATGAAGATTCCTTTCTTAGTATTAACATCAGGCTTTCCCAGGAGACTGTAAACTTCCTGAGGGCAAGACTCACATCACCACGGTCCTCAGGGCCACGTGCCTGGCACCCACTAGGTATTCAAAAAACATTTGTCGGATGAACAAATGGTTGGACTGCTTTCTTACTGCCCAGGAAAACCTGCTAGGCACCAGGTACCAATTGGACAGGCTGAAGGGCTGCCCCAAGCCCAGGAAGAAGACACCCCACAGCCTTCCCACCTGACTCTTGTCAGGTTGGGAGGCAGGATGGGAAGGTGAGAATCAGAGCAGCCTGGGGACAGGAGAGGGGGACAAACCACACAGCCTAGAGGATGGGGAGCCACCAACAGGATATAGGAACTCTTATAGGCATTCATGAACACAGACGTGTGTGTTATATACACACGCCCCTGAGCACATGGAGCTGCATACACGCCTGCGTGGTGCATGCGTGCACACACCCCCCACAAGCGTACCTCACGTGCACCCCCAAACATATGTGGGCGCATGTGCCCCTGAACATCCCTCCCCTGCGTGATCACCCTTCAGAGGACTGGCTCTGACTGGCACTGACGTCTGTCCTGCGTCCTCCTGCCTTCCAGCAAGCTTCTCCTCGTGAAGACAGCTCTGGGCTGCCTTGGGGTTCGTGCTTCCCGGGCCAAGGCTCTGGTCTCCCTGACTTGGTCTTCTCATCAGTGAAAGGGTCCCCTAGCTCTGACCCTCCAGTGGCTGGGGACCTACAGAACCAGAAATTCACCTGACAGTGCCAGAGGTTCCCGAGGGGCTCGCGTGTCACCCAGAGACACAAGGCCTGGAGCTGCCCTGTGGCCTGTCCACCTGGGTCCTGCGGAGAGCACTCCTCAGCTCCTCTCTTTCCCCTCAGCTCTGAGCGTTACTGAAAGGACGGGCTCAGCGGTCCAACACAGAACCTTCTGGCCAGGCAGCCCCAGTGGCTAAGAGCCTATGGCTCAGGGTCAGGTGGTCTTCTTGTGAATTTCAGCTCAATTGCTTGCTGGCCCTGGGGCCCTGAGCAAGCTGTACGTTTCTCAACCTGAGCCTCGGTTTCCTCACCTGTAAGATGGGGACAGCATGTGCAGGGGTTGGAAACAGCCCGTGTGAAGTGCCTGTTTCCAGCCAGGGCTCACCAGGGACGCTGCAGAGTTGATTACTGCAATGGCAACTGCGGCCCTCAGGGGTCAGCTCAGGGCGTCACCGCCCCAGGCACTAGGTCTGGAAGGGACTGCGGACACATCTTAGTCCATCTTGTTCATTTTATTTATTTTTTTTCTAAAAGATTTTTAATTATTTGACAGAGACACAGCAAGAGACGGAACACAAGCAGGGGGAGTGGGAGAAGAAGCAGCAGGCTTCCTGCTGAGCAGAGAGCCTGATGTGGGGCTCGATCCCAGGACCCTGGGACCATGACCTGAGCCGAAGGCAGATGCTTAATGACTGAGCCACCCAGGCACCCCAATCTTGTTCATTTTACAGATAAGGTACAAGAAGAGAAGCAGCTTCTGCCCTGGTCACCCAAGGTTTGTCGAGAGCAGAGTCGGTGCTCAAGGTCAAGCCTCTACACCTTGGGACCCCCACTCTTTTCCCTCCACCAGTGGAAACTCCTTTTGCTGTAACAAGGGTGCCGTAAGGGCCTCAAAACCTGGGCCGGGGGAGGTCCAGGGAGCGGGGAGGTACAAGGGTCCAGGCCTTCCACCTGGCTGGGAGACCAGGCTGGAGGCGATGGCCCCTCCTCTCCCAGCTTCCCCACCCCTGTCAAACTGCTGTCTCCCCCCAGGATGGGTGACAAGCCCACAGAAGCCAGACCAGTGCCAGGGTGAGGGCTGGGGAGGCCCCTCACAGCAGGCTCTGCCCCAGCCCTCGGTGCAAATTAAAACATTTTCCTTTTCTTCCTAATTTTTTTTTTCCTGACACAACTGCCCATGAAACGTTTTAATAACATCCTAGAAAAGGTCATGGAGAAGGAATTTCACAGTCCCTGAGCAGGCAGCTATAACTTCAGCTGCTCCTGCAGCAAAAGAGGTGGAAAGATCAGGCTGATCCTGGGAAATGGCAGGGGGCGGGGGGAGGCCAGGTCAGGCTGGGCAGGGTGCCGGGTGTGGCCACGCAACCCGCTCCCCGCTAGAGCTCTGGGAGATGATGTTGGATAAGTAGGGGCTGCCCAGGGGATGCTTCCGCACCCAATATTCACACCTCTTGACAGCAGGCTAGGGGGTCTCATGTCCACTTTGCAGATGAAGAAACAAAGGCCCTCAGGGGTGACGAGGATAGACTAGCACACAGCAAAGGCGGGGAAAGCAGGGCCCACAGTTTCCCGGAAGGTCCTGGGCTCCTGTAGGCACACATTCCTGGTACCAGAGCTTATTACTGGGTGAAACAGCCCCTTTATATCTGCACAATCCTACAACCCTGGGGCCGGGGGGTTGAGAAGGAGGTGGGCAAGGCTTAGACTCAGGAACTGGAGGCTGACCAGGTGAGAGACACTCAGAGGAGGCTAAATGCATCCATTAAACATCTGGAGAGGGACTGGAGAAGGGGTTGTAGGCAGCAGGCAGGGGTCCACGCAGGCCCAGGAACTGCTCTAGTGTTTGAGAACACCCAGTTTGAGCACCTACTCTCCAGTGGCAGCCCCAGAGGAGACTGGGCCTAACACATTGTCCTTGGTACCAGCACTTGGCCCCCAGCCAAGAGGTGTGTCTTCTGACCCTTCACACCCCACCCCTGTTCCCTAGGTTCCGCAACCCTTCCGCAGGGCCATGGGAACTTGGGACTGCAAAGTGAGACCTCCATCCCCAGCAAGAATACCAGGGGGGAATCCCTGGACACCCACAAGCCTGACACCTGAACTCTTTGCCATGTGGTCCCAGGCCGGCTGGGGCCCAAAACACAGGCCGTTTGGGTGTCCTTCACCATGATAGTTGAATGTGGCTGGGGGGAGAGGGGGCTGCAGTCTCTCTTTGGGTCCAGAAGGCCAAAGCCTCTGGCACTCACTCTCTGGCTGGGCCCCTAGAGGCCACAAGAGGATCCATGGAGGGGGGCCCCAAGCACCAGGTGACTGATAAGGAGCACCTTGGTGGAAGCCAGGGGGGCCACAGCCTGGGGAGGCAGGCGAGGAGGGAGACAGCCACAGCTGACTTAGTGTTTATGTCTGAAGGCCCGCCTAGCTAAACATCTGTTTGAAGTATTAATAACTGTCAGATGGGAAGGGCCTGGGGCTCAGTATAGTTTCACACCATCTGTCAGAAGAGTAAACACATTGTGGAGTAGGGGGCCTGGGATCAGCAGGCAATGTCTCGGCTTGGAGTAAGGATGGAGCAAGAAATGGAAGCGGGGACCCCAAGGTCCTCAGAATGGGCAGAGAATGGCAACAGTGAGTTCAACTCCATCACATTTATTGAGCACCTACTATGCGTAAGAGCTGAGCTTACGTCACACACGTCTGCCACTCTGATCTGCTCGGCAACCAATCCTCTTTGTTCTGCTAACAGAAGCCCCTTTGGCATAGCCCCTTTTCCATTTTCAGCCCATAGAATTTGGATGGAGCGGACCTAACCCCTGGCTCCACTAGGAAGAGTGTGACCCATCTCTGTTAGATCAGGATCATGATGATTGGTTCCAGGATGACCCAGCAAGGAGAATCAGCTCTGAGACTTTTGCTGGAGCTACTGAAAAAGAATATGGTTTTCCCACTAGGGTTGATAAATTGGTAAGAAGTAATCCTGGGGGTGCTGGTGTTTCTCTCGGTCAATGTAAAAAAAAAAAAAAAAAAAAAAGCGCCTGGTGCTAAAGTCAGATTCCTGCTGAGTGCCTGGGTACAGCTATGCCTGAAATCATTTATACTTTGAATTACATGAGCTGATCCTTTTTTGGCTTGAACCACTTAAGGGTTTGTGTCCCTTGCCATCAAGAGTACTGACTGATACAAATGGACACTGGAAGGGGCCCTTTGTCAAAGTCCCAGCCAAGGGCAGCTGGGGGTGACCAGGCACCCTCAAGGAGCCCATTCTTCCCTGGTGCTTAGAGGGAGGGTGGCCCTCCTCAGAGTTAGCTGGTCCCTATCCCCATTAGAGGGCACTTCCGGGGCTCCTGGCCCAACTAGGCCCGGTTCCTCTCAGGGACAAGGCAGAAAACCAGTGTCCTTGGCCCAATTCCAACCTCCTCCTGGTTGGTCCTCTTTCAACATTGTTGCCCTAACCATGGCAGCCCCATCATAAAGAGTCCAGATGCTTTAATACACAAACACCACAACTTCTGGGGGCTCAGGGGCACCCCCTTCCCTGACCACCCACATTTCTTGGGCCAAGCCCTCTGGCTGCCTCCCCGTGCTCTTCCCCAGAGCTCAGTGGCCCTGTGGAAGAGCAGGACTCACCAGGACTGTCAGCACAGAGGTCCCCACAGTGACGTTCTCGTACAAGCTGACGTTGTACAGTGGCTGGCTGAAGATGGGCCGGTTGTCATTCTCGTTGATGAGGGTGATCTTCACCTTGGCATAGCCCACGTGGTCAGGCACACTCTCATTGGCAAAGAGCTGGGTGTGCAGAGCGGGGGCCCCGGGTGAGCTCTCACATGCTCCCGGAGCCTTGTCCCCATAAGTCCCCCTGGGGTCTTTGCAGGTCCTAACCCAGAGTTCTTGTCTGAGTCACTGCCCATCCCAGTGATGGGAGTCTCTCCAGCAGGGCTCCGAAGCCAGGGTGGCCACGGATTCTGCTGGGGGCTGGGCTGGCGGGGGCTGGGCCGTGAGGCTCCTTATGGGCTTCCGGGGCTGTGCCCGTGCCTGGGAAAATGCTGCTCAATTCCCAGACACTTCCTTGTCCTCCTTGAAAAGGGGAGGCTCAGCCCAGCCCCTGCCATGGGTTCAGTGGGCTTCCTGAGTCAGATCCACACAGGGGAAAAATGGGGAGAGGTGGAAGGAGGAGTTTAAGGAGATGGTGTCACCCTCTGCCTCCCCTGAAAGCCTCCCACCGGACAAAGAAAAATGGAGGGGGCCTTACGTCAAAGTCGTAGCGGTCCACAGTCTCATAGTCCAGGGGGATGGCCACCCGGATGCGAATGTCTGCCTTCCCTTGGACAGAGGTGGGGGAGATGATGAAGTGCTGGGAATTGTTCCCCACCAGGTACACCTCAAACATGCTGTTCAGGCCCTGGGGCAGAATGGAGAAGAAACCAGTCAGAAAGGGCTCAGGAGGCGGAGGGTCCAGAGCAGAGTGGTGTGGTGGAGGTAGAGGAGGGGCAGGGTCCATAGTGCGGCTTGCCTGCACCCCACACCAGAGTGGTCTGGCCTCCTCTGGGTGACCCTGGCCTGGCTCTCAGACCCTGCCTCCTGTCCACATCCGGGCCCGCTAGAAGTCTCTGCCAGTTCTTTTTGCCTCTGATATCCTTTCAGATGCCCCCAAATAGCCCTTCCAGATGGTTCGGTTCATTTCCCACCTCCTGCTCCCTTCCTCAGTCCCAGTGACCCCAGCTGGGGAGGATCTGTAGCTGGAAGACCCAGCAGGCAGACAGGAAAGAGGGCCGGAGGGGAGAGAAGCAAGTATGTGTCCCCGGCAGGCATGGGCAGGAGAAGGCATGAGGGACAGAGCAGAACACAGCTTCTTCCCCTCCCTCCCTCCAGAACAGGTCAGTCAGGGAGAACACTGGTTTCCTTACACATGGAAAGGGAATAACCCAGCTGAATGGCAAAGTGAACCCCCATGGGCCCCACCCTGTAGCCAGCTAGCGGTAGCCCAGAGGACACTGGATTCCAGGTAGCTCAGAGCTGCAGGGTCCTCCATGGGCTCTGCCGCAGCCCATAATTTCAGGTGTGGGGGTGTGTGTGCTTCACTCCAAGTCAGGTGTTTCTGATCATTCTAACAAGGCCCGAGCTCACAGAGCCCTCAGATACGGCTTAGCTCCTTCTGACACAAAGGGTGTGAGGTCTCCATGCTACCCGAGCCCCCAAGTCCAAAGAGCCAGTGATGAAGGTGGGAGACATGGCTTACTGACTCCCCAGAGTCTGGCCTGCTTGGCGATGGATTCAACCCCCCATGGGGGGAAATTACCCCCAAATAAGCCTCCTTCAACCTAGGTAGATGGCCTATGGTTTGTAACCAACCCGTGGAGACCTCTCCTGACCCTTACTGCAGATGCTCACTGGGTGACAGACCTGGGCTGTGAGCACCAGGAGGGAATGTCCTCCTGCCCATGCTGCTCACCCCTGGCCCAGTGCCCAGCACAGCCCCTCCGTGTACGTGTTTCTTTGGAACCGAGGGCTGGCAAAGGAAGCATGCCTCTCTTCTTGGTTGCCCAGGGATCCCTTCCAGACCTGTTCCTGCTGTGACGGGGGCAGCCAGGCCATCTTGAAGCCTTTCCATGGTCAGAAGGGGATGATCCTGGCAAGGCTGGAAAGGGCACCCCCAGTGAAGCCTAAGAGTTCATGAGATTCTTCCAGCCCTGGACCTGTCCCACAGGTGGTCGAATATATTTGTGGAATGAATACATATTATTATTTACCCATCAGTCTCTTGAGTTTTTTTTTCCTATTTGCAATTACAAATTGGCAAAACAGGAGTGTTGCCAATCTCGGGGTCCAGACAAGCAGCAGGGCCTCCAGAGTCCCCCCACCCAGAGTGGCTCCTGCAGATGGTGCAGGCAATGCTCCCTCGGCCCTGTCAGCGTGTGGAGTCCTCAGTTCTCCCTGGCATGGAATCCATCCGTCAGATGGAGGCCCAATTAAATGCCCGAAGGGGCACTAATAGCCAAGACCGGCAGAGTGTGACAGCTCTGAGCAGGTGACACCAAGACCTCTCCCTCCACCATGGGACCTGGAGGCCCAAGAAGGTGGGGGCCGGCTGAGCTACGCCAGGGCACGTGGAGCAGGACGCCCTCTGAAACCCCTTCCCCACGCTGCCCACCGGCCTCCCCAGCCCCTGCCCTTCCCAGGCTCACTTACCAAGTTCTGTCAGTGGGAGTTCGGTCAGTCAAAGGGTATGGAGACAGAGAAGGAGCCGGAAAGGTACGGAGAGGAGGAAGGAACCAGAGAGAAAAAGATGGTGAGATCCGAGGTCAGGGTAAGGGAGAGGGGCCGAGTGGACCCTAGGAACCCACCCTGCTCCAGAGGAACAGCCCCCTTCGTATCTGATGGGCCCCACACCCAGAGGAAGGAGAGGGAAGCAGAGGAAGAGGTACTAGGGCTTCTGAGCACACTCGGTCCTCACCCAGAGGGAGGTGGGGTGGGGGGTGGGCCACATCCCTATGTCCTCCTTCCAGAAGCCTGGACCAAACCCCTGCGGAAAACGACCCCAAGCACCGTCACATTTTAATCTTCCTAACACAGAAAACATTAAGACACGATAAATACAGACATGGAAAATTTTTCACATAGTTCCAAAGTGTAAAGGGCACACTGCCGTCTCCCTGTCCCCACTGGCCCAGCCACTGGACAGCCTTCTCTAGAGGCCATCACCACACCCCGTCCCGGGGTCTCTTCCCCAGCAAATCCACACAAATACGACGAGCTCTAGGTTTCTGGGCCTCTCCTCCCTGACGCCAATGGCAGCACGCTACACGCATCGCTCTGGCTGGGGTTTTGTCACTTAGATCCAGGTCTCGGAGACTGTTCCAGAAGTGTACAAACGGGGGCCGATATTAACGATGACAGCACCGCACACCGAACACCTGCTCTTGGCCAGACGCCGTTCGGAATAACCGCAGAATTATGCTCTGTGGTTACTGTGGAATGTTGGGAGTCCTCAAGCCCACAGAGCAGGCCTCAGGCAGGGTAAACCCACAGCAGAGCAGGGACACAGTGGGAGCTCAAGAAGTCACTGGGTTTCAGCAGCTTTTCCTCACCCACTCCTCTGTGCGATCCTCTTCCCACGGGCCATGGGGTGGAGAAGAAGAAACACCGATCTTGGAAACCCCTCCAGAGGAAATGGACTTCAGAGAGGTTGAGTGAGTCACCCAAGGTTGCACAGCTTGCTGGCAGCACAGTGAGGATAAAAGCCCAGGCCGGGGTGCCGTCTAGGCCGAGGGAAGTGGGGTCAGGGCCTCCCCCACTAGCAGCTCCAGTGCAGTCTGAGTTCCCTGAGCAAACGGAGGTGGTGACGCTGAGCACCCCAGGGCGGAATCTGAGCGAGCGCCAACAGATGAGGCCACGCCAGGAAGGCTGCCCCAAGGGGGGGGTTTGAACTGGCTTTAGGAACGAAGGGAAAATGAGCTAGAAGAGGAGGGATTCCAGGTGGAGGAAGCGGCTTTACACACGGAGCTCGGTCCTTAGCGTGTATCAGAAGCACCTGGAAGCTTTGTTAAGCTACAGACTGCTGCCCACCACCAGGACTCCCTCATTTGGTAGGTTGGGGCCTGAGAATTTCCACTTCTAACAAGTTTCAGGGGTCGCCTGCCCTGCCACTGCTGGTCTGGGACCCCCGCTGGCCTCGCAAAGGCATGGAGCGGGAATGAGGAATCGGTGAGGAGGCAGACAGTGAGCTGATTTGCAAGGGGTGCATGTGGGGAAGGGCTGGTGAGATCGTTGGGATAGCAGGAGGCTGGGGGGCGGGGGTCCCACTGCAGGCACCGTCTGGAGGGCTCTGGCACTGCCCTCGTGAGCAACGGGGAGGCACTCTAAGCTCTGAAGCACATGCATACTGGTGAAAATGAGGAAGGTGAACTTGGCAGTGAATGCAAGTCACACCGAGGCAGCCCTCCCTCCTCACGGGGCTGCACATCTGAACCACCAGCGTGGCTCTAAAACTCAGACACGCAGATGCCCACAGCCACTGGGTCAGAACCTGCCGGGGTGGGGCCCAGGCAGCTGCAGTTTTGTGATGCTCCCTAGGGAACCACATTGCGCAGCCAGGCTTGCGAAGACATCAGCGGGGGCAGGCAGGGGCTCGGCGGCACCCACAGGAATCCAGAGGGGCGAGCAGGGGAGAGGCAGAGCGGAGTCCTCCATTGGGCCACCCAACAAAATCTCCTGGAGGGGTCTTTAAAATATCCTCATGCCTAGGTCGCACCCCAGACCAAGCAAATCAGACGTGGGTGAGGCCAGGCCTCAGGACCTCATAACACTCTCCATGTTATTCATTCTAATGTGCATCCAAGGATGAGAATCACTAGGGCAGAGTGGTGGTTCTCCGAGTGGGGTAAAGGGACCAGTAGCTCAGCTTTACCAAAAACCTCATCAGAAATGCATATTTTGGGCCACGCCCAGATCTACCTTTCAGAAACACCAGGGGCAGGGCCCAGCACTGTGGAGCCAGCCCTCCAGGCGTCCTGATGCTCGCTGAGGTTTGAGAACTGCCAGGACAGAGCAAGGCAAGGCAGGGAGTGAATCTGAGAACAGGGAAGAAGACTGACCATGGAGGTGTGGTGTGAGCAGCTGGAGAGAGAAAGCACAGTAAACACCCACGGGGATGTGGGCGTGCGGGGGTGGGGGCGGACGGAAGACCAGAGCGGAAGAGATGCCTGGGAAGGTGGGACTGAGCTCAGTGTGGACTCAGTCCGGGTACCTGGACGGGCAGGAGCACTGGCCCCTCAGGCCAGGTTTCTGCATCTCAAGGAATGAGGTCCCTGCCTTTCTAGATTTGGCTGGATGTTCACTCAGCCCTGCAGTGGCCCTGAGACCCCAGGGCAACCGTCCGGCTAAGTCCCATTAAATGCTCAGCCTGCCCCCTTCAGAACCTGCCCAGAGGGCCAAGTCCTGCTGGGACTTGGCTTGTGACTGTGAGCCCCTCGGGGGATGGGATATGTATGTGATATTCATCCCGTTCACTAAAGCGGTGCAAAACCCCGATTAACTGCAGTCCTCTGCCAGACAGCTTCTGTTTATCAAGCCCCAACTGTGTGCTGCACGTGACTTAACCAGAATCTTTACTGACATCGGCGTCAGTGCACCCCTTTTTGGAGAAGGGAAGGGAGGCCTGGGAGGGCAACTCATTCAGGCCTCACAGCTGCCAGCGAAGGATCTGAAGTTGGGTCTGTTCTGTCTCTATCACAGTGTGAGCTCTCAACTGCCCAGCTCTCCAGCCCCCTCCCACTGCACAATGTTGCTCCCAGGGCAAGCAAAGAACTGGCCCGGGAGGGCACGGGTGGGCTCCTCCCCCATTCTCCCAGGGGCAGGAGCGAGGCCCAGGGGAAGGCTCCTCTGCCAAGGTCAGGGACCAGG